TTTCCCTTGGCCCCTGTTCCTGTTCACTGATTCGTGCACATGGAAAGTTCCGAAGGCCTCAGTTCCAGGTGCCCTGTCCTCCCGTCTCCACTCAAGAGAACTAAGCAGCCCACACAGCTGTGACCGGCCTTCAAGGGGACGGAGACTTCCGGATCAAGTAAACCTGAGAGCAAGCCTCACGGGGGGGCTAACAGCAGGGCACGGCCTCAAAACATAACCAGATGACCCTGCTGTGCCATGAGGTATTGATCTAAAAGGATGACAACGGGCACCTGGGTGGTTCAGTGGTTAAGCCTCTGCCTTCGGCTCAGGTCATGATCTCAAGGTCCTGGAATCGAGTGCCGCATTGGGCTCTCCGCTCAGTGAGGAGCCTGCTTCCCCCTCTCTCTCTGCCTGCCTCTCTGTCTACTTCTGATATTTCTCTGTCAAATAAATAAATAAAATCTTTAAAAAAATAAAAATTAAAGTAAATAAAAGGATGACAAGTGCAGACTTCAACAGAGGTCTGCACACCTACATTCACTGCAGAGGACCCCCAGCAGCCAACAGTAGGAGCGGCCCAGGCGCCTGACCAGACAGATGGACAGTGGGATGGCCGTCAGCCTTACACTCGCAGGACACGGTGACGCCCGCTACATAAACGAACCTCAAGAGGGTTACGCGGAGGAACATGAACTAGTCATAAAAGGACAAATGTTGCAGCGTTTCTCTCTACGAGGTCCCCAGAGTAGTCCAATTCACAGAGATGGAAAGCAGGATGGTGGGTGTCCGGAGCTGGGGTGGGGGAAGCCAGGAGGTGTTAAGTAACAGGCAGTTTCTGTCTGTGATGGGAAAGTTCTGGAGATGGATGGTGGTGATGTCACCCAATGACACGAACGTACTTAATGTCACTGAACTGGGCACTTAAAGATGGCTAAAACCAGGGGCACCCGGCTGGCTCGGTCAGCAGAGCCTGCAACTCGATCTCGGGTCGTGAATATGAACCCCCAGCATCACCGGCATCACCCAAGAAGTTGTTAAAAATGAAAATTCTATCCGGACCCCAGAGGGGACCTACAGATGCAGAGCCCAGAGGGGTTGCTGGGCGTGTGTGTGTGTGTGTGTGTGTGTGTGTGTGTGTTTAAGATTTTATTTATTTATTTGAGAGGCAGAGATCACAAGTAGGCAGAGAGGCAGGCAGAGAGAGAGGAGGAAGCAGGCTCCCCACCAAGCAGAGAGCCCAATGTGGGGCTCGATCCCAGGACTCTGGGATCATGACCTGGCCGAAGGCAGAGACTTTAACCCACTGAGCCACCCAGGTGCCCCAGGGCATGTGTGTTTTAGCAAGCCCTCCAGGGTGTTCTGGAACCACCGCCCTGTAGACCCCATCACTTCTGGCAGCTCTCTCCACCCAGGCTCCTCCCTCAGCCTCTCCATCCTCAACCGCAAGTAAGAACCCACCTAAAGGATCCTCAAGGGTCGGGTTTACCCATTCCCACCAACACACACAGGCCTCTACCTAGGTGAGGTAACCGTTCCCACGGTTCCCCAATGTGGCCCCATGGGCCACACCGGAACTCACTCCAGCAACATCTATTTCCAGACCTCCCCCATACAGATGCCAGTTCAGGAGATCTGGGGGCCCCTGGGATTCCCAGACCCCATAGAATCCAGGACTCTGCCCGTGCTCAGTGAGGTTCAGGGCATGGAGTCGGAATACCAGGGTCAGCTTCCAGCTCTGCCACATTCCTTCACCAGCCACAGCGGCTTCCAGCAAGATCTGTGTCTGCTGACTCGGAACACAACTAGCACCCACCACAAAACAGGCTGCTTCGAGGCTCTGGAAGCCCCTGGTGACAGCACTCTGGCTTGCCAACCACCTGCCCCCCTTCCCCGCTGTCGCATTCCCAGGCAACTCCCCACCCACCCTCGAAGGCCGGGGCCCAGTGTCCAAGCCTAGCTACACAGCTCGCCCCCAAGCCCCCCAGTGTCACAGCGAGCACCCCACAGCCAGGACGAATGGGAGCAACAGCGCCAGACTTCAGGAGCAGCCTCCCCCCAAGAGGTTGGCTGCCATCACCCCACCCCTTGAATCCCACACAAAGCAGTGCCACCCAGAGGTGACAGATCACACGTGCCATCTGAAAAATGACAACGACCGGCCTCACCTTCGAATGCATCGCTGCCACTGATGTGTGTGCTGCCACTCCCCACAATGCAGCCCAGCCCTCGACACTGAGCTCCCGCCCTCCCTGGGTCCTCTCCCTGCTTCCCGCTGAGCCAGGTCAAGACCCTGCCCCTCTGAGAAGCTCTGCAGGCCAGCCATGCCTTTAGCCGCAGCCCTAAGCTCTCAGCCCCTGCCCTGCAGCACTTAATGCTCTTAGACCCAGAGGTTAAGGCCCAGACTCTGCAGTCAGCCGGGCCTGCATCTGAGCCCTGGCTTCACCATGAGAAAAGCCGAGGCAGCCCCCACAAGCATCTGAAACCCTCCGAGCCGCTGTTCTGCAGCTGTAAACTGCAGACCCAGCCCTGGAGCTGTGGGGAGGAGCCCAAGATCAGGTGTGCACTCCATCCAAGCTAGCACAGGCCGGATGGAGCATACATGGGGCACATCCCTTCTGCACACACAGCCATGGAGTCTGCTCAGAAGGACACTGCACGTCTCGGAGCTGCGGAGAGCCTCAGGTGAAGCACGGGGAAGTCTAGTGGGCAGAGCAGGTGGCCCGAGACACACTAGTGCCTGCAGCCTGGCCGCGCGCCAGGCGTGGTTAGGATGCAAAATCCCTGCCCCCATCCCGCCCCCACAAGGGGTTCAGCAGGAAGAGGACCCTCGGCGCCCCTCCTCCTGCGGCTTTGTCTCCTGTAACAGCTGAGACTGCCGGCTGCTTGGAGCAGGAATCTGTATGGGAACAAGCTGCCCAGGTAATTCCTGGGCACACGTCAGCTTCTAAAGCACTGCTTTAGAGAACAGCCCGCTTCCTAACCCCAACACACCCCAAGTGGCCTGGTCCTTGTGTGTCCCCCCCAGTGTGGCGGAGAAGGCGATGCACACTAGGAAGCAGCACTGCACAGAGCACAGACTCAGACATCAAACTCTAGCTCAAAGCTGGCTGCACAGAGCTGCTGGGAGAGATCCCAGGAAACAAAGTCCTCAGCACAGTGCCTGGCACTCAGCAAGGCTCGGGGTCCACCTTGGCTCTTTTTAGCAACGGCTGTGGAGATAAGTGCTCTGGAATGGAGTGGAGAGGGGAGAAGTCTCTTGGAGCACTGACATGGAAGCAGAAAGACCAGTCATGACCCAGGATCTGGAGGAAGAGTGCTCTGAGCAATAGAAATAAAAAATGATTGAGGGGGTAGCAGCTGAGATCCCCTTTGGCCATGATATTGAATCTAAGTAGGCCTGGAAGCCACTGGAGGCTGATGACATGCGGCATGTCTGCAAAGATCACTCTGATGATGGCGTACGGAATGGGCTGGAGGGCACAAGAATGAAGCAGGAAGACCAGCTGGGAGGCCCCAGAGGTGGTCAAGGCGAAAGATAAGCACCAGCCTGGACTAAGGTTGTGACCAGTGGTTAGATTCTAAAAATATGTTGGACATGCAGCTGCGGCTGGACTGGGCCTGCAAGGACCAAGGACCAAGTTCCAACAGCCCGAAGAACAGAGTGAGGTGGTAGGAGATCTGGGTCACGGAGGGTCAAGATGTCCACGAGATAAACAGGGAGGAGGTCCGCCAGAGGCTCACTGTCGACTCACTGAAACTTAGGCAAGAGGTCCTGGCTCAGGCTCAAAGGATTAGAACACTTTAAGACCCTTGAAGACAGAGAGAAGCCTTTCCCTCCTACAAAGTCCTTCGGCAGAGAGCAGAGGCTCAGTGCACATCAGTGCACTTCAAGACAAAATGAGGTTTTCGGAGGATGGTGATCACCATGTTGGCACTTAGGTGAGACTCTGGGGAGCAGTGCGTCTCTAAGGAGTGAGGATTCCCTGGGATGCAACATGGGTGTTGGTCCCTGAAGGCTGGCTCACTTTTTGGAAAGGAAAGCAGGCCAGGTTTGGGAATGAGGGGAGAAGCCCAGGAGAAGTGTACTGCTGGAGAAATGGCAGCAAGATGTAATACTGGTTCAGGGAAGTAGGAGGACCTTATGTAGAAAGGTCTAGAAAGATGGGGGAGCTGGGGTCATGCGCCCCCTCCCTGCTTCCCAGGATGCCTGTAGGTGGACAGAAGCTCTTGGCAGAGACAGCCCAGAATCCAGCCAGAAACCTTTCTAACACGGAGGAAAGCTTCCTACTCCCCAGTGGAAAGAGAGCTCCCCAGAAACTGTCCAGAGCAGAGCACCCACTCTCCCCTGAGGGGCCCTCAAGCCTAAAGGGACCCTGGCTCTCACCTTTTCCACTCAGCTCAGTCTCCACACAACCCTTCTGATAAGAGCAAGAGCCCAGGACCAACGCCTCCGGGTCTGTGCTCCTTTGTTCAGTACTTAACCCAGCGCTCCTCACACCACGTCCTGGGCCTTGCGGGGACTCCACGATAAAGAGGCCCCTGCCAGGAGACCCAGGGCACAAGAGCGCAGAGCCCACCCGGCCATATACAAAGCCAAGTGCACAGAGACGGCGGAGCGGCCGGAGGGCGCGTGGGAAGCCTGCCTGGCCTTCAGCACCCCTGTGCCCCCGGCAGAGCCAAGTCGTTCCTCAAGGCGCCTCCGTCAAGTCTGCGGACCTGCCACAGTCCAGCAAGGGCACTCGGGCTCAGCGCGCTCCTGCCCAAAGCGCCTGCACTCGGCCAACACCATGCAACGGCTCCTGAGGCCGGGACGAGGGCCCCAGGGGCGCCGAGCCGCAGCCCCGAGCCCCACCTGGCTACTTCCCGGCTGTGTGCCCTTGGGCACATCGCTCCAGCTCCCGGAGCCCACCCGGCGCGGAACCCACCCGGCGCCGACCGCACCCGCCTCCCCACCGCCGCCCGCCTCCCCGCCGCCGCGGGCCCGGGGCAAGCAGGTGCGCGTCGAGCCGGCCGCTCACCCAGTTTCCGAAGCCGAACTGCTCGATGGCATCCAGCAGCAGCTGCTCCTCGCGGCTGGTCCAGCCGCCCTCGGCCTCGGGCCCCCACAGCGTGAAGCGCCCGCCGTCCACCAGCTGGTAGCCGTGATAGCGCCGGTGGTGGCCGATCTCGGCGCCAGCCGAGAAGCACTCGGGGCACAGCTCGATGTCCTGGCACTCGGTGCAGCGGAAGCGCAGCGGGCTCACCTCGGCCAGGCAGTACACGCAGTACTTCTTACCGAGCTCCGCCATCTTCCCCCGCCCGCCGCCCGCGCCCGCCGTC